TATTTTTATTTATTTTATTTTTCTTTAAATAAAAGATCTTTTACTCAGCATTTGTATATTTAAAATTACTACAACTTGCTAGTTTTTAGTAAATTTTATTACAATATGAAGCAGAATCTGAAAGAAATAAATAAGAAGTATTTAAAGAAATATTATAAAAAGATAGTATAGAAAGAAAAGTTTGTGCAACTGTTAAGTTATTAACATATATTAAAAAAGCAACAGAAACCAATTTAGCATATGAATAATATGTAAAAAGAATATTAACTACATTTCTTATACAACTATTCCTAGTTTTATCCATAATAATACAAACTGGCTTAGAATCAAAAATAGATTTTAAGAAATTAATATGTTTATTAAACACTTCAGATAAATATATTTGACATAAAGTTGATGCTTGAGAAATTGCTCCTCCTTCTTTATGTTTTTTGAAAAAAAGAATTAAAAAATTTATTTTTTCTAAAGAAATATCAACACTAATAAATGCTTCAATTAAATCAAAAATTACTTCTTTTTTAGATTCTGCTGCAAATAATGAAACTTGCAAAGTTTGTTGGTTTTTATTTTTTCTTTGGCTCCATAAAGTTTTTGCTGTACGTACTAAATGTTTTTTGCTTACACAATGTGCATCAATTGTTGATTTGTGTTTCCATTCAACTGAAAGATCACAGTAGTTACAAAAAAGTAAACCATCATCAGCACGAAATATACCTTCATACTCTTTAACCCGTGTATGAACAGTAAGTGTATTAGATTTTTGACGTCTAAAAGAAGACATTCTTACAAAAAATAGTTTATTAACTTTGGTTACGATGCTAATATAAACATTTTTTAATTAAACAATAGTAATTATCATTATCATTACTATTATTCAATCAATAATACGTTAGTATAAGAATCGACAAAGAAAATTTTCAAAAATGGCTAGTATTTTTGAATTAAAAAAAATACTATCCATATATAATATTTGAGATCTTTTATGACGAATATATGAAATTTGTTGTAAAAGAACTCAATTAAAATAAATTATGTGTTTTATTGTGAAATTATGTGCATACACATATATTTAAAAAAAAAATTGATTGAATATTTTGAAATTTTGTGGCGAAACTATGCAAATTTTGTGATTATCACAAAATTTTGTGACTTTTGTGATATTTTGTGAATCACAACATATCATCGTCCCTGCCCCTGTATGAGTTCTAACTGAACCCATGCATAGCTAGTACACGATTTTTACGCGTTTTTTTTTTATTGTCGATTATCGTTATACTTGCTCAAAAATTTATTACGCCTTCAAATCCAAATGGTAGCGAAAAGTCGGTTTTTTTCAGTTTAACTGTAAATGCATATATAACTATATCTGGTTTTTTAACGAAAATATAATAAGACTGAACGTAAACGTGCAAGAGAGGTTAGTCCCGATCCTGCCTCAACTCCTCCTTCAGATACCCCTCCTTTGCTATCGCCTCCTAGAGCAGGCGACCAGGAAAATAATGATTTTGAGGATTATGGCCTGTTAGAAGAGGAAATAATTAAAGACGATGCTTCTGAAGAAGAAATGGACTCTGAGGGTGAAAACTTATTTGATGGAGAACTAATGGATAGGTGCTTTTTTATCAAATCAAATGTTCATTATTAAATTATCTGAACGTAAATTTATATATTGTGTATTTTAGAGATTATCAACCAAATCCTCTGCTTGATGTTTATGATACAGAAGATATAGACGATGATTTCCATGAACCTATGTCCTTTGACGCTCGCAGACGCGCTGAAATGATTATGGATCAATTAGATCAAATGGGTGCTCAAGGGGAGCAATTATACGGTTGGATCATAAAGTTACTATCATTAAGATTTGACAACCCCTTACTAATTTGGTTCCTTTATAATAGAGGATGCATTTACTAAGCCAAGAAACAAACGTCGTCGTCGACGTGTTCATAATGAATTTCAAGAAATGGAAAATAAATTAGTGGTGGAAGAGGAGGTCATTATTGTGACTATATTTATATCTTTATGCAAATCGTTGTATTTAACAATCACATTTTTTATTTCAGTACATGGATCTTGAAGAGATATCAACTATAAAGGCCCCATCTATAACCGAATGGATCAAGATACCAGCCGTAAGAAGTGGTATTTATCAACAGTTTAGCAATTTTTTAAGAACTTATGTAGAAAATGGGAAATCTATATATGGACCCCGTATTGAAGAACTTACAAAAGGTGTGAAGCACCGCATTATTTTTATTACCGTTTTTTATATTAATTTAATATATAAAGAAAAGCAATAAATGCAATATTTTATCTCGAATTAGATCAACTTCAAAGTTTAAAAGTAAATTATAATCACTTAAAAAAGAGCAAGGAAATTTTGGCACTTTTCCTTAAAGAGTCTCCTAATGAGATGCTAAATATTTTTGATGAATCTGCATATGATTTTATTGTGGAAATTCATCGTGGATATAAAAAACTTGGCAAAGAAGTGCGTGTGCGTATAACTGACTTTCCTGTTATTCACAATATTAGAGAATTAAGGTGGGTCTCATTGCACTGTTTTATATCGCCTGTCATGGCATTAGTTTTATGTACTAATGAATTATTATTCGTTGTGGGCAGACAAACCAATCTCAATAACTTAATACGAGTGTCTGGTGTAATTACAAGGCGAACCGGAGTGTTTCCTCAGCTTAAATATGTTAAATATAATTGTGCCAAATGTGGAGGCCTTCTTGGGCCATACACACAAGATATTCAGAATGAGATAAAATTAAATCATTGTATCCATTGTCAATCCAAGGGTCCTTTCATTCTAAATACTGAACAGGTGCAAGTTGTTGGTTGTTAGCTTTTTTAGTTTCGAATTATATTAATAATAAAAATTTTTTTTTTCAAATGGCCATTATAGACTGTATATAGTGATTATCAAAAAATAACGCTTCAAGAAAGCCCTGGTACGGTACCAGCAGGACGTCTGCCTCGACATCGTGAGGTCATTTTACTCGGCGAGTTGATCGACTCAGCAAAACCTGGTGAAGAAATTGTAAGTGATATCATCGGTTATGTATGATAAATTACGAACTTTTATTGTATTAATATATGTTATATATAACCATAGGAAGTCACCGGTGTTTATCGAAATAATTTTGATGTATCATTAAATATAAAAAACGGATTTCCAGTGTTTGCAACCGTCATAGAAGCAAATTATATTAGTAAGAAGGAAGATTTATTTGCTAGTTATCAGTTAACCGAAGATGATAAAAGAATAATCCAAGACCTAGCTGCAGACGACAAAATTAGTCGGAAAGTAAGTTAACTTTACAATATAGCTATTAATTATTTGTATCAGCTCAAATATATATATATATAAACAGATTTTTAGAAGCATCGCGCCATCAATATTTGGACATGATGATATAAAGAGAGCAATAGCTTTGTCATTATTTGGTGGTGTTCCAAAAAATATCCAGGATAAGCATCGACTGCGTGGAGACATCAATATTCTTATGCTTGGCGACCCCGGGACAGCCAAATCTCAGTTTTTGAAATATGTAGAAAAAACGGCTCATCGAGCTGTTTTTACCACGGGACAAGGCGCATCTGCAGTTGGTCTCACTGCATCTGTTAGAAAAGATCCGATCACAAGAGAATGGACCTTAGAAGCAGGTGCCTTGGTTCTTGCTGATAAGGGTGTCTGTTTAATCGACGAATTTGATAAGATGAATGATGCTGACAGGTTAGAATTTTCAAAAATGAGTTTAAAATTATTTATATTATAAAATTAACCACTTAATATCAGGACGAGTATTCATGAAGCTATGGAGCAGCAGACTATATCTATTTCTAAAGCTGGGATAAACGCATCGCTTAACGCGAGATGCGCTGTCATTGCTGCTGCAAATCCTATAAGGGGACGATACAACACATCTATACCATTTTCGCAAAATGTAGATTTAACGGAACCTATTCTGTCCCGTTTCGATGTTCTTTGTGTTGTCAAAGATACAGTAGATCCCATCACAGATGAAACACTTGCAAATTTTGTGGTCGACAGCCATATTCGTAGTCATCCAAATGAACAAACCGGTGTAGATAATTTATCTTCACAAGACCCGAACGTATGCATATTTCTTATCCATTAATTAGCATACTAATAATAGTTATAATAATAATATATACATTGTTATATAGATTATTTCCCAGGATCTTTTGCGTAAATATATTATATATGCAAAACAAATAACACCGCAGCTTACACATCTTGACGAAGCAATGGTTTCAGAGCTATACTCCAATTTAAGGAAAGAGGTCTGTATAACATTGTGGACTGTTTACTCGTATGCATTTTATTGAATTAGTGGTATTGGATTATTTTGTTACAGGCTCAGACGGGTGGTATTCCAATTACGGTTCGTTATTTAGAATCAATGTTGCGGTTGGCTGAAGCGCATGCTAGGTAATCTGATGTTATTTTGTCCTAGACTTTCTCCTGTTTATTTATCACGCGTGGTTCTATTCTATTGCAGAATGCATCTCCGGGATCAGACAAATTCGAATGATTTGGATGTGGCAATAGATGTGGTGTTGCAAAGTTTCTTTTCTTCCCAAAAATTTTCAATTGCGAGCAAACTTAGAAAGGTAATATTTATTTAAAGCTTATTTCAGGTTCCAGTACTAACAATGCCACTTCTTTTTAGTGTTTTGCGCAATATATTAATAAGGCAAAAGACCAACATGAGTTGCTCCTACATGTACTTAACTCATTAGTCAGAGAAAAGATCCGAATCCAAAGAGTTGGCAATGCCAACACGAGAGATGTCAATATTCGTATAAATGTGTCTGAATTCCGAACGCAGGTTTGTTTCAATAATTGAGATTGTAGTTTATAAACGACTAATTAATTAGTTATATTTATTAGGCTAAGAATCACAACATTCATAACATTGAGCAGTTCCTTCAAAGTGATGAGTTCACAAATCATTTCTTACTGGATCAAGAACAAGGCGTTATTATCAAACCGATTTAGGTGTTGCATATACAATTTATTCTTTACCAGCCTCTCTTAGCAACTAAAATAATAACCTGTATTCGTTTACAATTTTATAATAAACTTGCTATACCGTATACCGTATTCATGCCAGTTTATAGAATGTGTTTGTAACGTTTTACGAAAAGTGTAGATGTGTTCTAAAATTTGTATATCTATGATTATAGTACATTTAAGCCATTGCCATGTGTGTAATGGATATTGTATTTATTTTTTTACTTACCAGGAACGAATTATATCAATATACATTATATATAGTTGGTAGCTCTTCTACAACCCCCTCCCCCCCCTTCATGATTTTTATCCAATTAAATCGAAAGATAATTTTTAGGGTTAGGATTAAGGGGAAATTTTTGCTTAATGTTTTGTGGGAGATCTACGGGTGTTCATTATACATACGTATATACTTAACGGACAAACTTTTGAGATTTGGGATTTTTCCATGGTCAAATGTGATTGTTCGGTTAGGCTTAAAAGTTCATGTGAAAAAACTAGACAAATTCCAGTTCTAAATCTCCATGTTTCAAATCTCCATGTTTCAAATCTAAAATTTATTTCGAATTCAAATTCTATTGGTCAAGTTTGATCAGACCGGTTGATCAAAGGGTTTAGTATTGGTCAAAGAATATTTAAAAGTAGAGGACAGTATTTTAAAATTATATATAAACTTAATAATAAAATTTTTTTTTATATTTGATTTTATAAAAAATTGTATTAAGTAAATCAATTTTAATCATTAAGTATAAGTTATAAAATAGGTCTTTTTGATTTTAATGATAACAAAATTATTAAAATTGATTAAAAACTTATTAAAATATGAATTTTTTTTAAATATTAAGATGAGTACTTGTGATTTAGAATTTTATTAATAGTACAGTAACCAACAAAAGTAATGTTCAATTTTTTATTAAAAAATAAAATTTGATTTAGGATTTATTTAAAATTCACTAATAGTGAATTTTCACTAGTAATTGTCTATATTAAATTAAACTAATCTTTATAAATCAAAAATAAATTATTAATTATTAAAGTTAAATTAATGTTAAGTTAAAATAAAAATGTTATTTATAGTAAAATTTTGCAAGAATTTTTTTTTACTAAAGCATCAAAGGTGGTTTCATATATAAAATTTTAAACTATTAATTATTTTTTAAAAAGTTTTTTATTTTTGTTATGCAAAATTATTTTACATGTTACATCTGATCTTTAATTCTAATTGGTTAGTGAAATTCACCACTAGTAAGCATTAAACTTATCCTTTGATTTATTTAATTTTGTTACATATATAGCAAATTTTTTTATATTTATTTAATATTTTACTAAATAATCTCTTATATTTGTAATAATATTAATTTTTTTTTTTTTTTTAATGTTAAGGTAATTTTTTTGGTCTTTTGATTTTTATTAATCACTTATTAGTATTGTAGTTCAATGAACTATTACAGAAGAGTGTACAATTAATTAGACATATAACTTTTCTATATTACCTATTTAAAGAGTCTGCTTAAAAGTTCCTTATCAATTGCTATACCTAACATCTTTGCTTGGATATTCTACTTTAAACCTTCTGAATCTGTAATTTGTGTTAACTTACTAGATTATACCCTGATACTTAGATCATTGTCTCAATTTTAGGACTAATTTATCTTTGAGATAAATCTTTCAGAGTCTGGCCTAGGTATTGCTATAGCAGAACTAATATAGCAATTAGAGCTTAATTATTAAACTGCTATGTCTTTGTAGAGTTCACTTAGATCTTAGCATTTATTTCACAGCATAACCTCAATATTTTAGTATATCCCTGCTTTTTCATCTGTCTTTTTATCAAATTCCCAATTCAGATAGTCTATATAAGACTATGATCAGTTCATTGGTATATCAGGTTGACCTAATATCCTTTTTCTTTAGTTTGTTTTGATAACCTGATTGGTGGTATTCTTAAGACTCCCAACCTGAAGGTTTTTGCCTATTCAACTATTACGACTAGGTACTATGACCTTGATATCCATTTCTTTAAGCTAGTCTTTATAGTAGGGCTATCAAAGATCTAGCTATCTCTCTACTTGAGTCTTTCCAAATAGACTTCTTGTTATCCAATTTTAATAAATTTACATGATTACAAGAACTTATCTAGTATTTGCACTACCTGATTTGTTAATTTACATTTTTCTGTATAATACCATACTTATATAAATGCTCTATGCCTGCCAGTCATGCTAGTATGACTGCTATTACAGGTATTTTAACCTAATTGTTAGTAATAATTGTCATAATATAAATATTATATAAGTAATTATTCAAATTTTCATTATTATGAGAACTCTTTCTGTTAATTACCAAAACATAAAACCTGCAAAAACAAAAATTAAAACTACTAGGAAAACTACTATTTAAACTGTATCTGAAGATTTAACAAAAAAGAAAGAACTCTTGAAAAAAACCTAACAAATAGGGCAGTAGAAGAAAACAAGACAAAAGGCAAACAAAGAAAGAACAAACTTACCAAATAAGCTTCAAAAAATAAAAATTCTAAGGAAACAGCTTAGACTTGAAAACACAAATCTGTTTGGAACATGTAAACATATAAAAAAACAAACAAACAGGTATATACAAATATAGACAGACAGTACATGACCAAAGTAGGAATTCCCGGAAGGAGACCCAATCATGGAGTGCAGGCACTATGTGTAACAAGCGGTTGTTACAGGTCATGGTTATGGAAAGATTGCACATGTAAGTCCTTTAGGCTAGGGCCGCACCAACATCCCCACACCTCCTAATTAGGCAGT